ATAGGGTGAATACATCTCATTACACTGATTTACTGGTAGTCTCGAAACCCTACTATCATACGAATATATGAACAACTATATTGCCAAACGTGAGGAATACTATTTATAATCGACATTACTAACCCCTAAATTGTGGGTTAGATACATGGATGATTATTTTGTCATCTGGCCTCATGGTAAATAAGGCATAGATAATTTCCTACTTTCAATTAACCAATGTGAAAGGAACATTATATTTAAAGGAAGACAAGAGAGGCTATTGAAATTAATAGATTTGTGAATCCATTGAATGTGAGGAATGATGGTAGAAAGTTAAGTATGAACTACTTATGCTCGATTGATAAATTGAAGGAGATGGTGTTGAGCCGTTATCCAAGAGAATGCGGCCCAACTTGTCTGCTCAATGATGATTCTAACTTCACTCACACTCGTCCAACATGTATCGACGTTGGTATACACGCACACATACACATATACACATTCGAGAAAAAGTATTAGGATCAGTATGCAAGATAATTAGCCAAACTATCCTATATCTATATGTGCCAATTCATTTTCGTTTTTGGTTAAGTGTGTATAAGAGGTAAGATATAGCCGGATAGCTTTCATAACCTACTGTTTGTAAACGTGAGACTTTGACAAGAATGACTTCCAGCTCTGATGATGTCCAGCATATGATGGACGAAAGCTTAGCTCGTGTTCATCCGAAATGAAGGGGGGGGATGTCTCATTGACTGCATCAACCTGAATATCGTTTAGCTTTAGCCAAACGGTTGCAGTACAATGGGAATCAGCCTTCGTCTTCTGGTGAGATCAACCTACGGATCTCTTATTCATGAACTTTCGTACGAAATGAAGATACCCTCAGCAATATGAATAAAAACTGGGTTTCGAAGTATTCCTTAATGAAATATTATGGCATGAATTTCCATTTTGAAGGGATAGTTGGTTGGAAGGAATTCGTGATGTGTTCTCACTGCAAACAGAAGAAGGATTGTCTCGTTGAATTGTGCGAAGACCGTCCTGCGACTCCGAGGAAGTTGTGCTAAGCTTTCGTCTGTATCGCTGTCATAGACATCATCAGAGCAAGATTCCATACTTTACGAAATAGAGCAAAAATATACAAAACCAAAAGAAGGTGGCCGTTTGCAACCCTAGTCGATTTTTATACACAAGGCTTATCCAGCCTCTTCTTATTCATTGGCTTTTCCTGCACCCCCTTCTATCCCTCTCCTTAAGTCTATCCAATAGCCACTCTTAGGCGAGACCAAAATGAATGTAAAAATGGTGGAGAAAAGCTCACCGGATAGACTCAGGCGCTTATCTCGCTGCATTTCAAGCAGAAGACTTTGTGCCGGCGCGGCTTCCGCACTGGTCAGATCTAATAAAGAAGCGTTAAGTATGCGCGTGATGTAGGCATATCTCTCGTAGATTTCGTTGACCCCAAATAGCCAACGCAGAATAACGGAGCGTCTCAGCCAGCCGGTACTGTCGAAAAGCGATGTGAGAAAGAGTTGACGGTTAGATTTCGTAGGTTATTGGAATCCTGGTCTAAAGGGATTTCCTTGATCGACTTCGAAACTCTGAAAGTTTAGTAATTCTGAGACTAATTCTTTGAGAAATTCAATTCCTCATCAGCAATTGCATGCTTATCGATGAGTCTAGAATATTTGCCTAAAATGTTTGTCATATTTTTGCTGC